CTGACCTGGTTTGCATCAAAACCATGGTTGCCAACTGATATTCTTCAGCAACCACTGCAGCTGATGTGATTGCTCCCAATTGTCCTCTCTGCTTCTGAGCTCATTCTTCACCTTGGTTTACGAGCGAGCTATCAGCCAGGAAGGAAGTGAAGAAAAGGCTCCAGAACAACTAGAGGAAGCTCCCACAGGTGTACGCTGGCAGCAGTAAGAAAAATGTCCTGCAGGTAGTGCAGGGCCATTCAACTGGCAAAGACAGCCTATTACACCAAGCTTCAGATCATAAAGGAACTCTTTATCCAGTGGTTCACAGCCTCAAAAATGCTGGACAGTCCAAGGTCCTCAATCTGATGTAAACATCTCTAACTGTTTTGCAGCCAATCTCCAATGCAAGATCGGGGCCATCCGAGGGGTCACAGGATTTGTTAGTAATGCAGTTGATTGGGTCGAGATGTCCAACATACCACCTTGTCTGATTCCAGCCTGTAATGCCTGGTGACATGGACCAGGTGCTTGCATGCTATAAGGAAACTACCTCTCCATCAGGCTCACCTACGTTGTAAAATCTGGCAAAGGGGTGACAGTCAAATGGGCCATTCAAATCTTTAATACATCTTTACAAGAGGGTTATATGCCCATTCTGCAAAGACCAACTTAGTGACAGATGATGTGAACAATTCCAGGCCTGTCAACTATCATCCTGTTCATGGGAAAACTGATGGAGAGGGTGGAGGAGAACTAATTGCAGGCATTCTTGGAAGTTACCAATTGTTTAGTTCCATTTCAATCAGGCTTTAGGTTTCACCATGGAAACGAGACAGTTCTGATCACTGATAATGGAAGCCAACCATGGGAGTGCAACCTTGTTGGACCTAGACCTCTCAGTGGCCTTTGATACCACTGGCCAAGACTATCGAGTTTCAGGGTTGGAGGCCTAGCTCTGAGCTGGGTCTGCTCCTTTCTTGAGCATGGCACCCAAAAGGTGCCGTCTCTACCCTTTGGGTTCTTCACTGTGGTGTTCCACAGGGCTACACCAACGCTGTTTAACATTTACATGAGGCCTCTGGGAGAGGTCATCTGGAATTTTGGAGTTTAGTGTCACCAATATATGGATGATACATCCATTTTTTTTTATTTTCTTTCTCTCACCTCATTCCATTCTGCTAATTTTAATCTAACTGTATTAAGTAATATATTAATTGTATTTTATGATTAGTTTTTTTACATTGACTTACAGTATGTTGTAAGCCGCCCCGAGTAGACATGGTCTAGAGGGGCGGGATATAAATTTAATAAACAAACAAACAAACAAACAAACTGTATCTCTCCTTTACCACTTCAGCAGTGGAAGCTGTCCAGACCCTTGAGTGATGCTTGCCCTCAATAATGGACTGGGCGAGGGCTTACAGACTGAAATTGAATCCTGACAAGATGGAGATCTTGTTATTGGTAAGGGATCCTGACTAGGTATTTTGCCTGGTATGAATAGGGTCACACGCCCTCTAAAGGATCAGGTCTGCAACCTGGGAGTGCTCCTGGGCCCGCCACTCTCTTTGGGGTAAATTTCTGGCCAGAAGGGATCCTGACTAGGTATTCTGGTATGAATAGGGTCACACGCCCTCTAAAGGATCAGGTCTGCAACCTGGGAGTGCTCCTGGGGAAGCAAATTTCTGCCATGGCCAGGTCTTCCTTTCTTCATATCCAGCAGATTGCACAGTTGTGGCCCTATCTGGGCAGGAAATCCCTGACAACACTTTTCATGCATTGGTAGAGCTGAAGATTACTACTCTATGTGGGGCTGTCTCTGAAGGTGACACAGAAGCTGCAGCAGATGCAAAATGCAGCTGCAAGATTCACTGCCTGAATTTGAAACGTAAATGAACTGATTATGTTGATGAGGGTGCCTCCTGTTCAAAGCAAAATGAAGTTTCTTCATCTTAAAAAGTGTTGCTGTTATAGCAAGATATATCTGTCGATGAGACCCTTTTCATGAGAAACTATAAATAAACATTTGATGCACTTAAGGGTTCTAAATCTTGAGTTAAGTCTTGGTGGTCTTCGGCAACGAAAGATATTTAAAGGGGGCCCGTGGTAAAGAAAATGTTAAGAACCGCTGCCCTAAATTGTTTGCAACTTTGGGACTTGTCGAAGCCTCTCTCTTAGATGTACTACCCAGGCCACTTGATCATCTCAGAATGTATCGCTACAGGGGGCCATATGCACAAGGAATCAGGCCTTTTAGGTAGCAAATGCATCGCTGTGGTACTCACTGACTGCAGATGTTCGCCAAGCTCCCTTCCTGCTGTCGAATCAGGACTTTTAGGTAGCAAATGCATCGTTGTGGTACTCACTAACTGATGTTCGCCAAGCTCCCTTCCTGCTGTCCTTCAGGAAGCAAATAGTGCTATTTAATCAGGCATTAAGAAGCACTCTTCCCCCCATGTGAGAGAGGGCTCAACTCATTTTGTAGAAATTTCAACTGACTTGTTGTGACCATCTGGGGGTGGGAGTGGGAGATGTCGTTTTGTGATATTAGTTCATGTTTATGATGTTAGTTTTATTATTTTGCTATTGTTATTTTTTATCTTTATGCATTATTTTTTAATTTTGTTTTATATGTTTCTGATACGTTCGTTTGTAAGCCACACAGAGTAGTGTTTCGCCACTAGAAGGGCCGGATATAAGTCCAATAAATCATCACCAAGTGCCCACTGTGCTTAAAGTTCTGTCTGGGCAGTTTTTAACTACGCAGGCTACTGCACATTGCCCCAGTCTATTGAGCTAGGTACTGTACTCTATTTACCAACCGCAGAAGGATGAAAGGCTGAGTCATTCTCAAACCAGCTACCTGAGCCTAGGTTTGAACTCAGGTCTTGAGCACAGTCTTCACTGCAGTACTGCAGTTTAACCACTGCACCACGAAGCTTCCACTATCATCATCATCATGCCATATCTTATGCCACCTGAAACACCAAGTGGTGTTTCATGAACCGTAGCCTCCTTCATTAGACTGTTCAGTTTACAAGCACATTCCCCATGGTTGGGGGCAGAACTACGGACAGTAACAATGGAGTAAAACTAAATGCAAACATTATGGCTACAGAATATATTCAGAGGATTCGGTGAGTGAAACGACCTGAAAGCCCTCTGAGTTATGCACCTATACAAACTCTCTAGGTTGGCAGAAACAGGACTCATAAGAAAATGATGAGATGTTTTGGGGGGGATGGTTTTAAAAGCACTTCTATCATATTATTTAATTCAGTCTTCCCATACCTGTACATTCATCTGCCCTACAGCATTTCAGCTTGGCTACAGTTCACGGAATTCATTCCCAGTGGCTTTGGGCACAATCCAGAGGAAGCCAGACACACCCAAGTCCCACTGAAAGCTATAGACGTGAACATTTAACTGTGCCTAGGTCTCATACTTTTCAGACTTCAATGTATTCTTCAAAGCCATTCTGGCAAATAACTATCAACACATAATCAGATATAGAACCTGTTTGCCTTCTATGGGTCTCACAAGAACATGAAGCTCCCATAGCAAAATATTGTAAGAATAATGCCAGGCCTTTTTTTTCCTAAGGGCTCAGAGCATTATTTTGAACAAGTGAAATGACTTATTTGTGTAACAGGAAGCCCAGCTGCATGACTACGCTCCAGATTTTCCATGCAGCTCAGCACACCTGGTTATGAAGCAGCTGAGTTTTTCCCTATTAACACAGCTTGAATTATGAATTCTAAGCTCCTTTGAAAATGCAGCATATTTAATATAACATGAAAACTGCAGAGTTCTTCTCTTTTCTGTTCCTGATGAAATCACCTTGAAGGTAATAATAATCCCCATCATGCCAAATGCAAACTGACAAAAACATTTTGGAGGCACTGGCATTCAATGTCTTTTCATTCTTATTCTTTCGCATAAATTCAGCTAATAAAGGGCTAATTGCAATTACCACTGTGTCATGTGACTCTGAATAGTCTATCAATTTAACTCCAATGAAAGATGGCCCTGAGGCACTGCCTTCCCCACCCCACCAGAAAAAGCAATACTGCAATTATTTTATGTTAGGAATCCTTCTGCTAAATCTTCCTAATCCTGAAATGGTCATTACAATTATTCTCCCTCAACTAGTCATTTCTCTGTGTCTCATGCATCTTGAACAAAGCACTGTACTCAGTGCCATTCACAAAGCATTTGGAATGAAAGTACAAAGTATGTTAATTATTAATAATTAACAAGATGCCTATCAAGGGACTGAAATGAGCATGCATATATGACTGCAGTCATGTCAGCAGGAATGTATCAATCTAAGTTCCCTTTCCTTGCCACCTTCTGACCCCTGCTATTTCCATCTACTATAATTATATTAGCCAGGCTGTTATCAGAACATTCTCTTCATAACATTGCTACATTCATATCCTATCTTTCCTTCAAGGTGTTCAAGGCAGCATAAATAGGTCATTCCACACTGGCAGCCTCAGGAGCACCCTAAGCGGTGAAATGTCAATTGGTCCAAGTGAATGCCACACATAAGTTGGGAGTGGAACCTGGTAGAGATGGCACCGAAAGAGAAAGAGGATGTGCAGACCACCATGAGCTCCGACAGGTAATCTTCTGTTGTTATCCAGCCTCCTGGACTGGTGGCTTTGCAGAGTTGGGTGGGAATGGCATGTGAAGTTGTAGCAGCTATGGTGGAGAAAGGAGAAATGAACTGTTGTTTCCCAGCCAGGTGGAGACAGAGGGGGACTCTTACAGCAGGGAATTTTGACTGCAAAAAGCAGTTTGAAGGGTAAATAAATAGATCAAATTTCTGCAGCTTCTCTAGCAAGCAGCTTTGACTAGTCCTTGGCCTTAGAGTTCATGAAGTGGTTCATGTTGTAAATTGCCCAGAATAGTGGCAACACCATTAGATGGGCAGTATTCAAACAAAATAAAAGAAAATAAAAGGTCTGGGTCTCAAATCTATCTCTTATTCTGTAACTTAACAGAAGACCTACCTTGGGTCTGTGGGAAATATGGAGCCAGCAGCTTTGCCCTTTTCTTCTCATAACCTTTCTGGGTAATGTCCCCTAAAAGAAACCAAGGAGCAGATATCAGTTTTTCTGTTTCATAATGTGGAAGTACAGTAAATGTGAATCTACCCATACGACGGACGAGTTTTCTGTCTTTTGCATCAACAGTATTACTCAAGCAATTAAATAAAAGTATGGTGTTTGAAAATCACCGACAAAGCCCATCGTTACTGTGCCAGACAATTTAAGCTGTTCAAGACGTTTTCCATCCATTTTGACATAATATATAGAATGTCTCTATTTAGCTGTTCGTTCGAAGCAGGTCAAACACCACTAACAGCCTACTGGGGGATGCTGTACAACATGCATATTGAAAACCAGAGTATCATAAAACTAGGATATATGATTACTATTAAACTATTTTCCTTGGCTCTGATCCATTTGATGTACAGGAAAAGCCATTTGGCTGTATGTCATTTACTCTAAATATGCACATTTTATCTGCATGTTAGGAAAGAGGATTTTTTTTAAAAAAAGAAGAGATTAAAGTAGAGGGGGAAGCAGGAAGCACAGAAAGAATACTTCATTCTCTCTGCAGCTTTGCTTTCATTCACAATTTTATTGTTCTAGCAACGGAGCCTGGGAGCCACACAATGCAGAAGCAAAGGAGAAGGGTGGGCATAGGTACCATTCCAACTGGAACTGAAAGCTTGTTCCCTATGTGCAAGTAGCCCCTATACATTTTGGTGAGAAACCCAAACCTAGAGGTTTTCCACCACAAGATAACTGGGGCCAACTAATTGTGCTTTAAACCCTTTTTCATCAAAGTTGCAGCAGCAGTTGAATTCCCCTTGATGATTAACAGAAAGGACACAGGTAATATAACCTGTACATCTATGGAAACAGAAGAATGATGCAGTTATTATACTGCTCCCAGCCATTATCAATGTGCCCTCTCAGAATATGTCTGGAAATAGATTATTTCGGGACGCATTGGCTTACACAACTGCCAACCCATCTTTAGGCAGGGCAGCAGGAACTAGACATCTCTCTGCTCCATGAAGGTAGAAAGAAGTTCTCATTTCTTTACATTCCAGCTTTGTTAAAATACTACTGATTTTTTAAAAGGTTTCATAAAATATCTAATCAGCCAATGGACTTTAGGTATCACTTCTTTTGTTCTATATTTCTTTCTCATTCTCATGTTTCTTTTGCAAAATGTCTTTATCTGTATAAAGTTGCTTCAAACGTATACTCTGTTGCTATAACAGCATCACATCAGCATTTTCCACAGTCAGTTCTTTAACTGTGGAAGAGAAACAACTATTTCTAAAACTGGCTACAACAACCTTGGACCATCACTGTGAATAATTCCTCAGAACACTTAGCTTGACGCCTGTTTTGTATGTTGCATATTCATCACTGGGATTGACCAGGCAGAGTACACAGAGGAACTTCACTTAAAAGTGGCTCTCAGACACACCTCAGAGCTCAAGCAAATGAGCTTTATGCTGCCTCAGGTGTTAACTATGTATTCAAACTCAGGTGGCCACACCTCTCTCCTCTACCCTGCCTGGACAAGCCAGGATAAAAGTTAAGGACGTCAATTGCTCTAACAAGTTTCTATTGCCAGCTTTCATCAATGATTCCAGGACAATTTAGAACTCTAAAGTACAAAATGAAAAGCTGAGAAGATATTTCAATCAGAAGATAATCGACTCCACTGTTTGAGATACCTCGCAAGGCTGAGATTTTATTTATTTATTTATTTTGTTTATTTAACTTATATGCCGCCCACTCTATCCAAAGGTCTCTGGATGGCTTACAACAATGTTGTAAGGTGTCCCCTTAAAGCAATGACTGTCAGTCTTTAGCTCTCCAGACATGTTGGCTAGAGCTTCTGGGAGTTGAAGTCCAAAACATCTATAGGTGAGCAGCTTTAAGCTAACTGGACTTCGGAACTAACATGTAGCCATGTTAACTTCATAGGAACTGGAGTACTGTACTCCTCCACTGACTGAGTTCTCACTAGCACAGAGAAAAATAGTGGCTATAAAATTCAAAACGTTTATGGGAAGCGGATGGATTAGGAGGAAGAGACAAGAATGACTTGATGGGCTTTTAACTGCACTGACTAACAGAGCTATGATTACGCTTGGTCAGTAATATATATTACAGGTTAAATGTCACTTTCTTCAGTGATGTTGCTATTCTGAAAGAGAACCCAGAGGAAAACAGCTGAGATAAAATTTATACACATGCTGGACACCCATATAAATGGATCAAAAATCAGTCAAGGTTTCTTGAGTCATTACCAAATATGATAATTATTCTGTTATCTATTGTTATTTTCCTTCACAACTACCAGGCCCATCTTTCAGACCAAGGCTCAAAGGTAAAATCTGTCATTCTCTATATTGATCCTTTGTTGTTTCCTTTATTCATGTTACTGCTTAGAGTTAGTCTCTAATGTGCCACAATCTATATACACATATATACCTATTGCCCTGTTTTGTGTCTTTTGTCTGAATGAACCAGACTTCAAAATAACTGAATATCAAAGGCATCATAAATCACTACAAGTGTGAAGTGCAACCATACACCACTGTCTCTTAGAGCTTGACATGAATGTTTTACTGTATAATCTCTGTATTCTAACTCATATATCTGAAGAAGTGGATGGTGTTTCACAAAAGTCTACATTAAAATATAACGGTTGGTTTTCAAAGTACCACAATTTTTTTTCCTTTGGGGGGGGGTCATTCTTGCAGAAACTATCTTCCAATATACAGATACACACAAACTGAGAGAGATCAGACAGATTTGGCTCCTTTCGGAAGCAATGGAAGGATTCACAGGGACAATGCCAGCCTTATTTTGTTTGAAAGCATTAACTGAAGTTGCTGAAGTTAACTAAAAAAAAATCAACATAGCTAATACAGTAATACCACGCATAACAACCCCCTATTTAGCACTGTTTCATTATATCACACTTTTCAGGTCTTCAGTTGGGGCAAATTGCACCCCTCACTCATCTCTTAGAGTCTTAGCACTGCAAAGCTGGAAGGGACCCCATGGATCGTCAAGTCCAGCCCCTGACAAGGAGGCACAGTGAGGGAATCAAACTCCCAACACCTGGCTCCACAGTCAGATACCAAAACTGAGCTGTCCAGCGAAGCTCTTCTCTCTGCTTCTCCTTGCTCTCTCAGCTCCCTTTCACACACATCCTCCCAACACAGTAATGGCAGACAAAACACCATTTCCATTCCTTTTTTGCCCCTCTCCATTTCTCTCACACACTCTTTCTCTTTTGTGTTTGTCCTTCTGCTCTTTCCGCCCTCTCCCCCTCCCCCTCCAGGGTCACAGAATGAGAACTGGCTCAAACTTTCATTTCTATTTTCACCTGCCCAATAAATATAATGATATAATTAAACCATTTATCATTGTTTTGGTGAGCATTCCATGTTCTAGGAACATACCCTGAGCGCTTTCATCTCCAAGTGTTTTTTTTTCCCCTCCTCAGTAGAACCTAGATGACTAATCAAGAAATGTAAAACAAGTTTGGGCAACTTGAACAGGCTGCTGCTGGAAATCCGATAATTCAAGATCTCATTCGCTAATGCACACTTTCTTGTCTATGTGGATACGGAGATAGATTTTAAAATGCCCAGACCAAAACTGCTATTGAACTGTAAGCCAAGAGTATATGGGAAAACCCAATGTTTCCCTCCAATGTTTATTTCGGCATTTTTTAAAGGCTGACCCTATTTTCACATTTCATAGTACAAAAGTTAGCTTAAGAGCACTTTAAGTATAATACGGAGGTATTTTATGGTATTTTCCAGGTTCACCAAGATTATACAATTATTATGGGAACTACATGACTCTATTCATACTAGCAATGAATGTGCAGCTTATGATGCAGGAAAGACTTTATCCCCACCAAACCAGCAGTACGGCACCGATCACAGAAGCACACACTAATCCTAAGAAATCCTATGAATACCGATCCCATTCACTCTAGAGGTTGCAGATGTGAAGCACTCTTTAAGATAGATACGTAAATTGCTTGCGCAAATTCAGAAATATGTAATCTAATCAAGGTTAGAGAACAGTGAGATTATGGACCTAGCAATCTAGTCCAAATTAAGTATCCAAATGAGTATCCTATACAGAGTTATTTTTCTGTGAACAACCAACTAACACAGTAATAATCTCCTATTTAGAAAAGCCTGAAAATTACAATTCAATCTTATCTCTTAAATAAATGTTTTATCTATCTATCTATCTATCTATCTATCTATCTATCTATCTATCTATCTATCTATCTATCTATCTATCTATCTATCTATCTATCTATCTATCTATTTATTTATTTATTTATTTATTTAATACAGCCCACTAGTTTTTCATCATGGAACTCAGGGCAAACATACCTAGTGCTCTGGACTCAATGTGTTTAGTTTCAGCCTCCTGTGCCTATTAGACCAAGGCTGGCCCAGGTAGCAGTCCATGGATCATATCAAGATGCAACTGTAACATTATTAGGCCCAAATCAGCCCACATTAATTTTCATTTAAGGTATCGTAGAGATACGCCCACCCACAATTCCTGGGATAGTGACATCCCTCTGCCTCACTGAAATCCATCCAGCCTTTATTTGAACATATCTTCTCACAAGTTGATGCACAGAAGGGATGTATGGAAGTGTGAGCTGGACCATAAAGAAGGCTGACCACTGAAGAATTGATGCTTTTGAATTGTGGTGCTGGAGGAGGATCTTGAGAGTCCCATAGACTGCAAGGAGAACAAACCTATCCATTCTGAAGGAAATTAACTCTGAGTGCTGGAAAAGACCCAGATGTTAGGAAAGTGTGAAGGGAGGAGGAGAAGGGGACAACAGAGGATGAGATGGTTGGACAGTGTCATGGAAGCAACCAACATGAATTTGACCAAACTCCAGGAGGCAGTGGAAGAGAGGAGGGCCTGGTGTCCATGAGGTCACAAAAAGTTGGACACGACTGAACGACTAAACAACAACAACCTCACAAGCTGAG